ACTATAACATCTCTTAAAGTTAATATTTAAAAGCAGTTCTTTATTGCACATCTTTTCACATCCACTAGAGGGAAGCATCATATCAAAAGTCTTTAGCTGGTTCAATACTACATAAAGATTAAAAATACATGACAAATTCATTTGTTACAGTTTCTGCCAACATGAATGGCTGATATCTGTATTTCTGTCACATAATAAGGAACTGAGAAGATTGAGAAAGTGGTAAAAACATAATTTTAAGCTTTTTCTCCTGCTGTCAGCGTGTCCTTAAAAAGCTGCATGTGAGTGTAATGAAATGTAGCAGCGGCAGTCAACACTGAGAGGGGAGCAAGGGACGGACAGATCCCCCCCCACCCACAGACAGTGGGCTGTAATTATTGGAGCCACTGCCACAATGGTTCAGGAGATGGAGCTGGTCTAATCAGACAGTAGGCTCCTCCAGTCAGCATGTCAAGTATCAAAATGCTGAACCCCAAATTGATCCCAAAGGCACAGCCAGCCCTGTGAAAAATGAGGATTAGATACAGCTCAAAGGGACCTTGTACATGTTGACAAGTGATGTAAAAGAGCTTTAAGTGAACCAAGCAAAGGGGTTGCAGTGACTTCCTTCCACCACGCTGAGGCCTCAAAGTGAGATTTCAATGAGGTTTGATGAGTCAGTGAACCAGCAACAGCCATTCGTTCAAATGTATTCTCACGCTTCCTTCAGGACTTTTTGATATTCAATGTTCAGAGGCAAGGAAGATACAGAGTTGAGATGTTTGGTATCAAGTTGCGCTTCAACCAGGGGCGGACTGGGACTAAAAATCAGCCCGGGCGACCGGCCCAACTCGGTACCGCTAGTCAATTGTCAACAAGGGGGGGGGGTGCTAGTGCATTGTTCGAGTTATGGTACGATATCTGGATTAAGGGGTTGCTTTTTCTCTGCACCGCATGAAAGAAAGGCGAAATGAATGGGCTGTGATTTTAGTATTTTTAAGCAGACGTCAATAATTTGTACGGCCCTCGGAGGATGTTGGAAAAATTGAAATGGCCCTTGACAGGAAAAAGGTTCCCCACCCCTGGTCTAAGCACCAGCTGTACGAATACGTCCCATTAGGTTATCCTCTTTCCCCTCTTAATCCCATTACTTCTAGTGCTGTGTAGACTAGAAAACATCATTCCACATCAACAAATGAAGAAGGCAAACTATTTTATTCCTAAAAGTGTACAACCAAGCCCAAACAGAGCAGAACATTTGCCTCTCGAGACTGTTGAGGCGTTGACAGGTGATGGATTTAAGTCATTTATAGCCTAATGATTTGGCCGACTTAAAAAGGAGTGGAGCATATAATAATCCTTGTTATCGGAGATATAGTAACCCCCTGGGAGGGCAGCCAGCTCAGCCATGGATAGAAAAGGTTGATGTGTTAATTTAAGGGTCAGTCCAGTTTTTCTGAGGTGTTTTATTTTAATGTAAGTCTGAAATTGAAAATTCCACACCTACATTATAAAAGCTTGGGCTCAGACAAGCTAAATTATACATTAGAATAATATAGTATGTGTGTTCATTATTAAAAAAGGGACCCATAGAGAGCAACTGATTTAGTTGCAATACAAAATGAATAACCTTGTTTGTAGTTTGACTTCAAAGACTATGCATACAACATAACTGAAATGCAGAAACATTGGCTACTTGCATGCTTAAGATGTATCTGTTGCTCCTCTGAGTCACCAGATCAACGTATGAAAGCATGAATCATGACACGGACGAGCAGATGGGCCATGTATGTGAGAACGGGGAACCTTGTTCTACAGAAGTGAGACGGCTGTCCAAGCACTAAACAAACAAAGAATAATGTGAAAAGACAGCCTCTGAAATTGTGCACGAGCCAGTTGGGGATGCAGCTAGGCGTGTGTTTATTCAGCCACAGGCACGAGTCATCTATTGCTAGCAATGCCCTGCATCATGAACACTGTACGCAGTATTTGCTTTAACACGCTCATGAGGATGTTTTTCCAACTTGTTCCTTTTTCAAATCAGGAGATACAGATATATTGTCCTTGTAAAAAATAATTCCCACAATAATCTAAGTTTAGGGACCCACACACAAACACCATTATAGAAGCAATAATGTGAGAATAAATGTCAGTTCCAGGAAAATGCAGCACATACACACGCGTTTAATGACCGAACACACATGCCCAGGTTCTGAAGGTCCTGATGTGCAGGATGACCTCTCACTCCCACTTCATTAAACTAAATAACTACATTCAGTTGCTTACCGTCATGCTTGTGTACAGCAATGTCACACTCATTACCAGAAAAAGGACATCAAAGCAGATGGGCGAACACGATTAACTGAGCCTGGAATCTCTGCGAGAATGTATGTACAGCCAAGATACAACAAGCAATTTGAGGCTCAGCCAACAGAAAAAGACACAGCCTTCAGATCTACAGTAAATACAAGATGAAATTTATTTTGTATATAATGAGAAGAACACCGAGTGTAGGAAGTAAGCTGTTCACATGTATATAAGAGTGATTCTGTAAAAGGAAGAAAAACCCACATAAAAGCACCAGAACTATAATATTGCTTTGTTTGCAGAACTTGCAGTTGATAACAACTTGATTGTGAGACCAGGCTCAAATTGTTAAATTGTCAACTTTATGCTGCTTGTCCTTATGCTTGTTATCCCTGACCCATGGAAAAGTGAACCCTCTCCCATGTCAATGTTTAAGGAACAAACACAAACAGCCTTGCTTTCAGCTCGACCACCCTCTATTTTCACTTTATTCAAACAGTTTTGAAAAGGCTTTAGAATACAAAACAAGGTAGAGGTGTTATCTCTCTTCTACAACGTTTACAGTACCAGCAGCTGTTTTCGACTAAAATATTCTAATTCTAATGTCGTGAATAAAAAGTTAGCAACTATAGAAGATAAACATAGTGGAAGATGTAGGAGCTAGATAAGATAGTAAGATATTTTCCAGGTGCTGATGGTGCGCAAAACACGCTAAAAAGGAGACATACATCAGTGTTTCCCCTACCATTGTCTTGGCGGGGCGCTGCGTGGCAAATTGCCACTTAAAATGTATCGTCAGCAATGTATGACAAGCAGACTGCTTGTTTAATGTTAGACTCACACCAATAGCTCAATATGATCAGAACACGATTGCTTTCATATCAGAGATCAGATGAGGTGGAGCTGCCTCCAGCAATAGAGGATGAGGCAGAGAGAAGCAGCAGCAGCACAGGGGTGCAGCAGGTATGTTATATGCTGTAGTCAGGTGATTTAAATGTATCAATGAAAGGAAGAAGTGTAGGCTACATGATAAGAAGGGAATACAGTTTGAATAAAAGTAATACAGTACAGTGTAACACTGTACTTTATTACTTTTTAATGTACAAATACTTTGTTACTGTACGATAACAATAATCCACAGCTCCTCTCTCTGCTCCAGAGGATAAAAAGAAAATTGGCTGCCTCGAAAAAAAAATGTCAGGCCATCATTGGGGGGGTACCCGAGCAGCACCCTGCCAAGCCAGTAAACCTAGGGGAAACACTGTACATTCATCATCAAATCACCTGAAACACGGCCCCATAAGAATGACAAAGTTCCTTAATGTTTGCTACATGAAGGTAAAAAAGGCAATGTTTTCCCACGTTCACAAAAAACAAATGTATGGGGGAATATAGTTCATCAGAAATGTTCTGCTGCCACCAAGCAGCAAAATCATTATAATTCAGTCTGAATAAGATTGAATTAGTTAATAGAAAATCCCTCGACAACTCAAAATTCCCAGGGTAAAAGGGACAAAAATTAGCCAGAATTGTTTTCAAATGTATCACTTTAGATATTAGATGCACTGCTCAAAATGTACTACTGGAAATGAATACACAGAGGTTGCACATAAATAGAGATTTATCATCATAGCCAACAGCCAGCAGCACATGGCCTGCATGCATAAGCCATAACTGCCAATAATTAATATTCATCGTTGAATTGAATATGAACCGCAAAAGCAGAAGCCAGCAGAAGCCAAAAACAGCCCAAACTAGCTCACTGGCATCCCTTAGCAACAAACACATGTACTGAGCCAGAACGCAATATGTCATTATCAATGAATGAAAGCTACGCAGCACAGCAGCATACACTTAGCAGCAAACAATAATTTATAATCTAGTTTGATTTTCCAAATCTTTCAAGTGGAACAGTTATAAAAATGTTTTTTTTTTTTAAGTGTATAAATTAATTTAAAATAGAATTTCTGGAAATTTAAATAATTAAAAACACGTAACTAGTGTCTGCAGAGCCTTTTGGAGGATTATACATATGGCTGTGTGTGTCTGTAACCTTTCACCTCATTAACTCAAAGTCGGAGAGCACATTAAGTTGAACTTTAAACTATCTATGGGAGGACTGCAGAGACTCAATGATGTGTAAAAAAAAAAAAGCACCCGATGTAGTTTGGCTGTTCCTTTACTTTGTGGAAAGGGCAGAAGTAAAAGGGCCTCTCTCTATCTCTGGAATTAATTAGAAAATCTGCACAGCCATTATTGGCAATTTGTCATTACTGACAATTTATAGGATGGCTAGACAGCTGCACACGTGACCACTGTTACAACAGATAGACTGGTTTCTCTTGTCCTAGTAGCCGGACCGAGAAGAAATCTCTTTCCATCAAACACAATAGATCATATCCATGATTTCGTCCTAGAACTAATCTGAGACCAATCACTTTTTGCATATGAGTAATTTTAACTTTCATCTTTTCCTGGTGGTACCATTGGGCATGTTAATTGAAATCTTTGGAGCTGAAAATCTATAGTGGTCTGTGACAGTGGTAAATGAGTCTATCCTGTATTTGAAGTAAGGTGGGAGCTTTTTAACTAATGTAATGCTCATATACCTCAGTCTTCACTAAAAAGTCTCATTTTGTGATTTCAGTTTTGTTTAGCACCATCTACTAACATAGAACATTACACTGATTACAGGACTAAAACAAATGACTTACAGTACTGCTGCTCCCATCATCAACTTGATCAACAAACTCCGTCTCAGACATGACACCTGATCTGGAACAAATACAAAATGCTTTTATAATCTATATGGCAATTCCCGGTAAACTTTTAATAAACACTAGTCACTGCTTGCTTGACAATTAATAAACAGTCTGGCAAAGAAATGTATGCATCCTATCATCTGGCATCTTGTTTGTTGTTGTGGGTTTTTTTAATTGGGAAAAGTATTTTAGCAGCGTTTTCACTAAACAGCACAGTTACTGAAACCACTGAAGCTCTATTTGCTATTGAACACGGGGCATGTCTAAAAGTGGGAATCATATTATCTTTAAAGAGCAGTCATATGAAGAAAGCTTAGAGCATCACACTTTAGAACAGTTGTTTAGCTATCAGCAAGGATACTCTGAAGGATGAATGTGCAGAGCCATATGATTTGTTATTATCTGTGGCATAGATGTTCCCAATGTTGGCACTGAAAAATTAATACACTTAATTGGTCTCTTTTAGTTTCATTACTGAGGAGTTTTGAATGTATTTTACTTGAATATTTAGATAGAAAAAAAATTAAAAAAAATTATTTGCATTGGCTTTCATTTTACAGCGATTCATAGGCTATACCATGTTCCATTAAAATACCATATGATGTGAAGAAGCAATACAATCCCATTGGAAGAGGAATGTTCTTTGTGTCTGGTGTAGCCTAGTTATATTAAGATATTAATGTTATATAAATATCTATTTTTAAAACTTTTGTAGCACAAAACTGTGTTATGTTAAATATGTAATATAGTGATGATCCCCTGTTGTTATTGTTAAACGCTAGGATTGGGTGTGGAAACCCTGAAAACTACATTTATTGACATACTGAGCCATTTCACATTTTCCAGATGAATCCTACCTTTTCTCCTTATCGTGGAGTCAGACGCTGGCCAGCTCCATGTCTGTATGCGTTCAAATTAGCTAGCTGTTTGGCTAGCCGGCATGTTTACGAAACTTCACCACGTTGTGTGAATGTGCGGCGTTCATGGACGGTAATCTTGTCAAAAAGACGCTTAAACTCCTGAAAGTCTATTGTTTAACAGCAGGCTAGCATCCCTTCCGACAAACACGTGTGTAGCGTCTTTTTGACAAGCAGTTAGCCATTTTTTCCCCGGAGAAGCACAAGCACTAGTTTAGTGGGAATGCTGTTAACAGCATTCCAACTAACTGTTCTTCTACGGACAACATTTTTATTATTATTCCTGCGGGTTATTTTGGCCCTCTTCTCCTCCCGCATTGAACATCGCAGAAACTCCGTTCAAACATCAAAACTTTCAGCTCGGTCGGGAATCGATTGCTATTACTTTTCTCATTCATAACTTTCATAATTCCAGAGATACATCCCGTATCACATTTTTAACATTGAAGTCAATGGAGGAAATCGTCAGACTTCAACAAATCTTCATGCGACTTCAACTGCTAACTGTTCATTCATACTTTCACTCAGAAACCTCATTCCAACTTTAAAATGTTACACATCTTTCTGACATAATTCGTGTAAAACAACTTTTAAATCTGATTCTTACTTTTAGAGATATTAAACATTGTTCAGACCTTGTTTTAGAGGTTTTCTTCACATTTTAACATTAATTAGAGTGTGTGATGTCACAGCTAGAGTGAAGGACAGCTTGAAATTCGCATTCATATTTTTTATATATCACAGGTTTGGTAACGATGCAGCCATCAACGCATCTAAGCGTAGTATGGGGTGTCATCAAATGCCGTTCCCATGGCGACGGACCACTCGCCATGAAACACGATGTGGCTGTAAGTCAATGGACACGGTCCAATCGTCCCCCAATCTTCTCTTGTATATCACCGGTCCATGCCTCAACAGCTCTACGCCAAATCTGAGATCTCACCATAAGCCGTTTCCATGGAAACGCATCCCTCGCCATAAAAGATGATGTCGCTATAACTCCTAAATGTTTAAAAAGTGCTCAAACTTCACATGTGTACTAACAGTGCAGCCATGAAGACATCTACGGGACAGTTTTGAGATTTCTTCAAATGCCGTTGCCATGGCAACACAATGCTCGCCTTGAAATAACGGTTTTCAAAAAACTTCAGTAAAAATACTCCAAACAGCCCAAAACTTCACAGGTTTGGTAACGATGCAGCCATCAACGCATCTAAGCGTATTAAGGGGTGTCGTCAAATGCCGTTGCAATGGCGACAGATCATTCGCCATCAAGTTAGTACACAAGTTTGCAGTTCAAATATTCTGCGGCTTTTCCAAGCCTTTTTACTTTCTTTTCTTCTCTCATCACACATTCAAGCCCCCACTGTTCATGTATCATTTTAATCTAAATTCTTCACTTTCTTCTTACACATTACATTTCAGCATAGCAGTTTAGCATCACATTTTCAGCATAAAGCATTCCCACTAGCAATTTCTTCAGGAATTGCATTCTCTAGTTTAATCTGAGACTGTCTGCTAGTGGTTTGGTTGAACAATATCCTCGCGTTGAGATGTTAAATCTCACATTTTTATAAAAAGTATTTTAAATGTGTGCTAAAGATAATACACTTTGTTCAGAGTGAACTCACTAACTATCTTATTTTAAACAAACACTTACTCGTGCAAATCAGCCAATCAAGACACCTGCATCACCGGTCAAATTGGGTACAGATGTCTCTCTCGCTTCTTCCACATTGACATTGCAGCTTCCTCTTGAGCCAAGCGCGTTAAAAACAACATATACACTATCGAAATAATGATAACTAATCAAATACTTTATGCCATGCATTAATACAGAATTGCATTAAGTCATGAATTCGGAAGTACTGCAAAGTATCACTAAAACAAAAACAATTCTGGCAGCAGGTACAGGGCTTTGGCTGGTTCAGGGGCACATTTAGTTCATAAAAGCCCACTTATGTTGCGCATGTTATGTATTATTTTTAATATAGGACTTATACAAAACGCTTTTACCACAACTGCCTATGTATGTCCTATGGCCCCTAGCCTACGATTTAGTCCTCAATTTCACTGACACACTCACTTTCACTCTCACACTCACTCTCACACACACACACACACACACACACACACACACACACACACACACACACACACACACACACACACTACACACACACACACACACACACACACACACACACACACACACACACACACACACACACACACACACACACACACACACACACATACACTAGTATCAGCATGTGCTTAGGTCATGGGCCAGAAAATCACAGTATGACCCACCTGCTGGGGGTTAGGGTTATTTATTTATTTAATCGTTTATTTGAATGGGGACAATGCACATTAATGCACACATAAGACAAATAATGCTTCAAGTGTAAATATGCCGGATTTTAGCTTTGACCTCATTTCCATCCATAGTCCCTGACATACAACATATGACATTTATAAACATAGCAAAAAATGAATACATGATATGCAAAAAGAGCAAGAGCAGCATACACAAGTACCACATGGCAGTACAATATAGCAGCAACGACATATAAAGTGCAAGAGATGATACAAGAGCTACATAAAGTGCATTTAGCGGTGATTGCACGTCTGTTTGTTTCTCAACCATTCTTTGAGTTGACCCTTAAAGCTATTGAGAGTGACAATCCCGTTGGGAGGCTATATTCTGTACCTCACAGTCACTGGTTTCTGACCTAGTGCAGCGTCCAGTGTGTTTTTTGTGGATGAATTCCCCTAAGGTCCATGTAAACATTTATATAAAAAAGCATATACTTTTAAAAGACTTAAAATCGTCAAAACTCAAGAAATTGTGTTTATCAAGGATGGTACAGTGGAGCAAAACCTTTATCTAAATGTTTGGTGATTAGTTTTGACACCCATTTTTCAGCTATAGATGAGAAAGTATATCTTACTCATAATGTAATGTAACCAGCGGTGGTGGTGCTGCAGTGGCTAATGAGCAGGATGTGGAACTCCAGCTTCATTGCATCCTTTTAAATCACCATAAGACTTTGAACGTTGCACTGATGAGGCTCTGGGTCTCCCTGTCTGTCGCAATGATATCTGAGCTGTGGATTAAACTGTAAGTGTTTGCTGCTGGGACGTATTGCAGTATAAAGTGACGATAGTTATTCTTTGTATCCAGACACTGACTTGCCATGAGCTTGATCTAGGTTACAGTGTATTATTTGCACGCTTTACATCAAACATGCTGTGTTCAACGTGATGTTCGTGACATCAGCCAGATACGCAATCATGCGTCGTGCTTCTATTTATTGCACTAACAAGCTATTTTTAAACGTGATTTTTACTCTGACAGAGAAGACAATATAAATAGATACAGAGATCGTAGTCACTTTCATGTCCTTTTCAGAGATGCCATCGTGTCAATGCGCAATTGCGCAGCCAGGGAACCCTGAGCTGTGAGACCAGAGGCAACAGAGGGGCTTCAAGATCACTGCAGCGCCACACAAAAACTCCTGCTGAACCCCATTCATGAAACAGACTTCCAAATATCCTCTTTGTGATCTGGTGAGCATCATCTATGAATTCCCTGAGATTGCATGGAGGCTGTTTGGGGTACCGCTTCAATTATTGAAGACATTGCGAGCCTGGGGAGGGTAAGCATGGCTATGTGTAGGACACAAATATGTTGTGACTGCAACTCACGATGACAGTTCGCATCAGGACTGCGGATGTTCTCATGAAAAGTCTGGATATTTTAGAGGAAGCACGATGGACGCGGCGGACATAGTTGCTTCCGTTTTGGTTTTGGGGATTATTATCGTATCGTTGCTGTCAAACGTTGTGGTGCTGATCTGCTTTCTTTACGACCCGGAGATCCGCAAACAGGTACCTGGTCTGTTTATTCTCAACCTGACGTTTTGCAACCTGTTGCTAAGCGTGTCCAACATGCCACTAACTCTGATCGGGCTCATCACCACGGGCCATCCCGGAGGCAGCGACTTCTGCCAAATTGTGGGTTTCCTCGACACTTTTCTCACCACTAACTCCATGCTCAGCATGGCAGCTCTCAGCATCGATAGATGGGTGGCGGTGGTGTTCCCTTTGAGCTACCACTCAAGAATACGGCACCGGGATGCAGTGTTAGCGTTGGCATACACGTGGATACACTCACTTTGCTTCTCCATGGTGGCCACCTGTCGCTCCTGGGTTGGGTACCATCACCTTTACGCATCGTGCACTCTCTGCAATGTCAGGGCGAGGGCAGCCGGGACGCAGTTCATCATCTTTACCGTGGCTTTGCACTCTCTCACTTTCCTCCTCACGCTGATCGTGCTGTGTGTAACCTACCTGAAAGTGCTGAAAGTTGCACGGTTTCACTGTAAACGCATAGACGTGATCACCATGCAGACGTTGTTGCTGCTTGTGGATATTCACCCCAGGTAAACATAAATCGATTAAGTGTAATACATTGTACCTTTGCCTTTACTTTTTGTCCTGTGAATCCTTTCAGAAGGAACATTTTTGATACTTTGCCAAAATCAGAACATGCAGACATAATGTGCGCTTAAGAGACACATAGTGACCAACAGCAGTTGATGTTGTTGTAATTTCTCTTATTTAACTATTAAACAGTGCTCAGTGGATTAGTTAATAGATTGAAAAATAAGCATTTTCTTTCCCTTCTTCATTCAAAATATATCCTTTTTGGGGAAGTTTGTTAGACAAATGATCAGAGAAATGTCACCCCAGATTATTGCACTGCAAATTATTCATTATATTAAATCAAAAGGTTATTTTAATTATTGTATTTTAATTATTGTTCAATTTAATTATAATCAAAGTGTTTGGTTATGTATGTTATTTGCATTAATATACTGTCAATATACTTTTAACTTCTTTAAAACACAGAATATATGCATACAACTTTCTGGGGCATTCCTCTTCAGGCTACACATGAATATACAAAGTGCTCCACTGATGATGGTTGAACTTCACATTAGCATGTCCCAATTGTCCCATTAAGGTCAGCAAGACCTTCCGCTTTGTTTTGCACTTCAATCATTTGCCATCCATCTTGATTTAGTCAAATAATTAAACTTTGAATTGCTCTTTCACATTTACATAATTGATACCTGCGCAGTGTGAAATTCAGTGTAATCATCAGAGATAACAGGGCACAGTTCACCACTTTCTTTACGTCCATCCCACATGTTTTTCTCCATGGACTGCTTCATTATGTTTGCATGTCTCTGATTATGCCTCCTGGGTAGATAATGGTGCATGTGTGCTTTCGCAGTGTTCGCCAGAAATGCTTGGATGAGCAGAGGCAGAGGAGGCAGAGGGCCATCAAGAAGATCAGTACTTTCATCGGCACATTTGTGGTGTGTTTCACCCCCTACGTCATTACAAGGTGAGCAGAAATGTATCATATTGTATATAGGGTTAGGGGGTTTATAGGGAGTTTTGTTTTACAAACAGTCTCAAGGGGATTTAACTAGTTTAATTCTGCACCTTTTGTCATTTATCTATGATTAATTTTAGTTTTTTCAGCTTCAAAAATAACTCTCCCAGGATTTTTTTTTAAATTCGATTTGGAAAGAGTGACTGTGAGTTTCACTTACCTTGTTCTTGCTAATGTGCTTGTCTTATCGTCTGAAAACAGAAGGTGATAATGATTTTCTATGCTGTCTTGTTATCTTGTCAAATGTTTAACTGCCTCCTTTTCATAATCTCACAGTTTCTTGGTTCTACACACGTTTCTAATCCTTGTCACTGAGTCTTCAGAACTGGGTAAATACACAGGAGGGAGAGAGGCAGGGAAAGAGGAAGATAGCAAATGAGTCAGAGATGGTATCACTGGCTCTCATTAGTATTAGTCCCAGTTTTAGCGGTGGCAACCTGTCAGAAGCTGTTCGAATTGTGCTTTGGAAATAAAAAGGAAGCGCATTAGGAACAGTGTGGTGGTGAGACATGTTAGACTTAAGGAGATCACGCTAATTAAGAAGATGGATTAAAGACATAACAAAGCTCCTGTTGCTTTTCACTTTGTCCTTAATTTGATTTAGGACTTAAGATGTGTCAGGCACTGAAATTGGTGTGAAAGGATTTTAACAAGGAAGAAGTCCAGAATCTAACACCACTCAGTTCAGATTTCCTACAGAAGTGTTGACATTTCATTGAAGTGAAATGACTTTTAAACAAAATATCACAGCACTGGGGGAGGGTGACGGTCATTTGCTTTAGCAGTCTTCCACACCACTTGCACTTATCTGAGAAAAGGCTTGCATGGATAGTGTTTGACTTTATTTGTCTCTTTTTGTCTTTATTTGAGGTAGAATTGTAGAGCTCTTCTCCCCGTGGCCTATAAGTCCTCACTGGGGCGTGCTGTCCAAATGTTTGGCCTACAGCAAGGCAGCCAGCGACCCGTTTGTCTATTCTCTGCTGCGTCACCAGTACAGGAAGACCTGCAACCTGCTGGCTAACAAAGTCCTCAAGAGGAGTCCACTCAACTCCTCCTCCCTCAGGATGGAGAACACTGCAGCGTGGTGCCAAAAAAACTCCAGCACGACCAACAACATCCAACCTACTGCCAACAAACCAGTGTGCCCGTGAAGGTCACAGAGACACTCTACCGGGCTATGGGTCTTTGATGTTAGATGTTACTTTAAGTTGAACTCAGTTCATGAGAAAATCAACATAATTGATCTCTTTTGATGGTGTAACATCAGGGCACACCATTACCAAATTATTTGTTAAAAGAAAAGGCCTTCAACATTACGCATTTTTCTTATTGTCAACAAATACAATGAAAAGATAAAAAACCACCAACACGATGTCCCCAGCAGCCTGTGGCAAACCAAGCTAATGTGTTCCTACAGAATTTATCATTCTTTAAAAATAGGTCATAAATAAATATTGGGTATGAAAAAGGCAAAACGTTTAGCTGTTCACACAGTTATTTAAAAACCGTTCTTTAAAACAGTAGTAAAAGGGACTTTGTAGAAAATGGGCATCGATATTTACAGCAGCAGGACTGTGTACAGAATATTAACACCAAATAAACTACAATGCCCAGCATGCAAGGAACAAGGAAGTAATATATATATGTATATATTCGGTAATATAGAATACCCTTTAAAGAAGTATAGATGGACCATTTTCTAGGATGTATTTGTAGATTGTAATAAAGTGTAATACTGTCCGCAAAGATTGAACGTTTCTAATGCGATCATTTTGTAGCATACTGGTAAATGTGTTTCAAATACTTTGTGTACCATGTAAAGTAACCCTTTGGTGACTCATTTGGTAATTATGTCTTTAAAGACTCGATCCAGATGTTAACAGGAGTGTAGCCCCATCTCCAAATGTCAGGACACAGGAGCTTGTTACCCCTGAATATTTTAGCAGGTCTTAACTATTACCATTCTCTGATGCTTAAAGGTTAGATCAAATCAGTACGGCATTACCACGTGAATAAACCCAAGAGTATTTTCATTACCTCAAGTATATAAGGATATTCACATCATATAAACAATGTTTTACATCCCACCTGAACAGAATGGCTGAATATTTAAATTCAAGTGTAACCTCTGACCTCAATGTTGATTCTCTGGCTGGATAAAGGGAATGGATGCTATAAAATAGATGGTAATTTAGTCATGTTTTATGCGCCGCACTGATGGTTTAATTGAAATGACTGTCTGTCGTAGCTGTGAGGCCTGAGTTCTAAAGTGCCTTTTAAGCTATGAGCTCTCTGATTTAATCCAAGCACAACAACACAACAGACCAAACCTTCACATCATGTTGTTTTCTTGCTATTCTGTACTGTGGTTAAGAGTGGTTTAGTGTGTTATGCAGTTTGGTCATATTGTAAGAAAAGTATAGGTAATGTTTATTTTGTAATACTGCCTCATTGTACTGTTGCATCAGGCAAAACAGGGTGAATATTATTTGAATGTTGTAGCAACTATCCAGTGATGTGTAATTAACATTCCAGCTCGTGCCGTGTGAGCGGCTATGCGATGTCTGGGGTGTAGAAATGATACATTTTGAAAAAATTGGCAAATCAGGATGTTGTGTTTTTATTTTACCGTGACAGTGAAGCCTTTAAAAGGCTTAACATTTATTTATTTTTGTCAAAACTAAATACATTTGTGATTATATTGCAATAAATGCTGTGCATTTTGACATTTTAAAACCCTACGACTGTCTTTTATACATTTATTAATTGTTGCTATTTGACTTCTAACAATGCATAGACAGTTCAGCTTATTTTTACTTAAACAATGCTTTCCAAAAGACAATGTACCAAATCTTAACACCTTCATCCTCCCACGCTGATTAATTCAAGGAAAGGAATAATTCATTTGAAAATAATTTTTGATGTGATCCACCCACCACTGCTGCTGTGGCACCAGAACAAAGACTTTTCACAAAAGCATTGGAGCTTCAAGTTAAAGGCTTTTTTTAATAGTAGAGCTCTTATAGGGAGTGGGATACAAAGAAAATGAGCCAACAAAAAGCGAGGAAAGTAGGCTTTACCTAACCAAGTTGGTGCAGCTGGGAAAGTACAAAAATAATATCGAAATCTGCATCCTCCATCCTCCTCATTTTCTTCATAAACCACATTTCTATCCTCTATCCAACATGACCACTCTGTTTAAACCGCTGTTATCATTTAGCCACTTTGATAAAACCGCCTGAAGGAATACTCATTCTGTCTTCATCAAAAACGTGAGACAATTATGACTTGTCACGCATCAAAGATTTCTCATTATTCACCAAGGAAGGCAAAAGCTGCATTTGTTATATCACCGTATTCAGTAGTGCTCGCCAATCAAGGGCAATCAGTGGACTGTCTTCACAAAGTTTGGAAGGATCCCCAGTCTGGAGGTGTGTGCTCATTTAATCTCCTTGGGAGACTCAGTGAGTGGGTGAGGCTGACACAAACCTGTCATACACAAAACACACTGCACAGACCTTGTGATTAAACCACAGCGCGTAGGAAGAACAAGAAAGCAGGCGAAAAAGGCAGAGAAGACGAGTGCGATGGCTGACTTAATACAACCCCCACGGCGGAGAAAGTGTGTTTTCTCCCAGACTCATAACGGTAGTCCCTGCTACATCACAGGCTGTCAAATGTCTCAGTTGATATTTGATATTCTAAGTATCTGTTGTGTTTCATGAGCTATATTTGCACAATTATATGAACAAAAACATATGTTCTACTTTACCATTGAATATATTTTCCATCATGTCTCTTAAATAACATGCAATGCTGCCACAAAGACTCAGTGCAGCCACTGTCTGTATGTCAAATTCAGACTTTCTGGACAAAAAGAAAGATACTAGTGTCTCTAAATGATGGATGAGGAAATAACTGGCCACAGTTCAGATGCAAACCTCAGACAATACACACAAACATGTCCTGGCTGGAACATTAAATAATTAAATGGGCATTTCTGATAAGTATTTTTTAAATATCTGCGTTGAAAGTAAGTGGCTGTCAAATTAACATCCAGATTAACTGGACCCACCCATGCACGGCAACTTCTTTTAATTAGTGGCAGCAACACTGAACTGCATAAGTAATGAATCCTCCATAACTCACTGAGAAAACCAAACTGATTTATCTTATTTTAATTTCTTAATGCCAGCAAAAGAGCAAACAAGGCGTCTCACTGCACGCACTCTTAGGTTTGCTCATTAATCATATGAATACATAGCAGGTGTTCAAACATCACAAATCACTTGATCACAGCAACCAAAACATGAAGTGATAATGAATACTGCAAATATGTCTTTTAATTTTGTATCATGGTGTCATTTACTTTCAGTCTTTTGTTTTCTTCATCCTTAACCTCTGACAGGCCTGTCTATAACTCTTCTAGGGGACCGACTGCAGGCATGAAATGCAAATCATGGGAATGTTGGACCCAGATGTCACAGTATTCCCGACCCCTCGAGCAAGGACTTGCTGTACTCACTGGGAAAATTAATAAAGAACATCTATTTCTGTTCAGGAATGCTGTATTTGTTTTTGCGGGGGTTGTAAAAACATTGTTTTCTTTGTCACAAACGTATTTTATCCAATGTTTCCATGGTATCACAGCCTACAAGGGAAAATCTCCAACCTCTGATTTAGCATTTGGAGGAGCCTAAAGGACTTTAGATTATTATAGTCATTGATCCAACATGTTTTTAAAAAGCTTTCAAAAGCGCAATTGTGTCAATTATCGAAAAGATAAGAACAAAACCTGATTCACAGGCAAATCCACCATAAGGGTAAGGGTCTGCTCCAAGGCTCCATGTCACAGCAAAAACATGTCTGCATAAAATTACATTGTAATCCGGTTCAATAGTCGTTAAACCATTTCCTTCCTAACCCCACATGCCAGCCTGCTGATGACACTGAGGGAGGGATCAGTGGATAACCAAAGAGATTGGGATTCATCCTTTGTAGAACATGGATATCTGCTCCAGATGTATTGGCAATTCACTCAATACTGTAGATCTTAAAGTGCACCTATCATGCTATTTGTAGGCAATAGCATGTGTTACTCAGATATATAAAAATATATATAAAAACATGTCTATGAAGTGTTTTGCTCAAAATACCAAACAGATCACCCATTCATTATTTCTGAAACAGTATGGAGCTCAAAGGCTTTCTCTCTTGCCGGTTATACCACAAGGTGAGTTCCTTTTTATGTCCAGCTTCTTCACACACATGCTCTGTGCAGTACAGGTTAGCTCTGAGTGTTAGCGATGCTAATGTAAACACCGACCATATTACGTCCAAAACAGTCGGGCATTGTTTCTGATATAATATGGTCGGTGTTTACATTAGCATCGCTAACACTCAGAGCTAACCTGTACTGCACAGAGCATGTGTNCACATACGTTTTAAAATGCTTAATAAGCACCGTAACTTTCATGATATCATTTCTCCGTCATAATCGTTTGTGTCCGTGGAAGTTTGAAACCTCCTTTCCTATCATTTAGAGAATTCGAACGGCACTTATCATGGCTGCCACTGAGGGACTTCCGGGTCATTTCACTCGGTTAGGAAGGCTCCTAAGCTAAATGGACTATTCGAACACAACCCTTGTCTCCCTTTGTCTTGTGCCAGTTTGTCTTGTTTCAGTGTGCTTCACATGTCCAGAGACCCAGCGTGTTACCAGAGAGGAGAGTTTTTGTTTGAAATCAAGAGTTTTGTTTTGTCCTCGCAAGAGTGATCTTTTGTTTAAACTTTGTTTTATTTTTCTCATTAAAAAGTGAGTCGTTACATTTGAGTCCAGTATTTTTGTACCCCGTTCTAACAGATATTCCTCCTTCTTGGTGTGACTTTGGGCTTTTTTCCTGACAAAGCATATTCATACGGTGGCTGTCAGTTGCAAACACTTCCATTAGGGGGAACGCACTACAAACAAACAATTGAAATATAAAAACACAAATGTGCCGAAACACATGCAAATGAAGAAACATCTTCACCAACTTGAGGAAACATGTGTAGCTTTTACTAAAAGTGCAGCATAAAGGAAACGCTGCAACAACAAAAAAACTGCAAGAAGCTCAAAACAACAGAAACCAGGGGACACGTTAGGATTATAACGCTGGACAACTGTCTCTATTGGCAGTTAGTCTGTTTCATAACATAAGTGTTTGGCAGTTTATTTGAAATGACTATGTTAGCTGCGTTAGCTAGCTAGCTTACAGCAGCTCTTCAGTAATATCAGAAGCAGTTATGTGATCACATTGTTAAAATAAGCTCATAAAACATTTTAGGTACATTTCCAACAACAGAGGCAGTTGTCCAACTTTATAATCCTGAACATCAACTGTTGTTGTTGTGTTTTGAGCGTCTTGCAGCTTTTTGTTGATGCAGTGCTTTTAGTAAACGCTGCGCATGTGTTGTCAAGTTGCTGAAGGTGTCTCTTCATCTGGATGTGTTCTGGATTTATATTTGAACCGTTTTGTAAACCTCAGCACTGTTCTCCTAATGGAAATGTTTTGGTCCGTTGTAACGTGTTTGCACCTGTCAGTACATTCCCCTCTGTAAAAACACTCTGAAATCATTAATTCTATCAACACAGCATCCAAGGACAGATCTGTTTTGACTCTCGCCCTGCAGCTCTACAGCAGTATGGCGCCGATCGATCAGAAATGGATTGACAGCGTTTGATTGACACACTGGATTAATAATTATTTCCGGTTCAGCTCATCTGGGTTCCAATGTAGACATAAGGTGCTAAAACAAAACATTGAGTGAAATGAGCCGCTGTTTATGGCTTTCCTTGACAGTCTTCCGTGGCCATAAAGCGCTTCTTCCAAATTGAAAAGCAGAAAATGATTTTGTTAAGGCGGCCGAGCACTGCGGAGCCCCGTATTCTGAATTGACAATTACTTCATGGTTTTTTTTAGGCAGGCAGATGACTTCACATGGATTTATACCTCAGTAGAGCTAATGGAGGCTTGTATGTGTTGTGATGAGGGTTGGGGGAGGGGGTTATAACACGACATGCAGCCGAGCAATAACTCCAAAATCCATAAACCTCAGATGAAGTCACTCCCCTTGTCAGAAATCCATTTCCTCCAGGGCTCAACAGATCATTGGCTTCTTCCTCTCCGCGGGGCGAAACATGTATGAACGAAACGGGTCTAATTACAGCCATCATCATTTGTAGTTCATTAATGGGGAGCACTAATGTATGTCACACACATCTGTGATAGCAGATATTTTCTCGGTACACTCCATCACGTTGGCGCCTGCCGCTCGCTGAATACCATCATGAACTAATCACAGAGCAAATGCCAACTGACCGGAAAATGAAGCGCAAACAAAGGACTCCATCTCTGATTCAGAGCCAGATGACCTTCAGGACTCTTGGAGGCCGTTGGCGAAGCTTCTTCTCTTCTGTGACATCTATCTGTTCATGCACGCAGGTCTAAAGGTCGCTGATGAATTAGAGTGCGGCAGCGGGGTTTTCAAGTTGCGTCCTGCTGTGGCGGCTCAGATGAGTTGAAAAGCGATG